TCAGTCTAGTCCAGAGGTTCTCAACCTGTGGGTCGCGACCCCTTTGGGGGTCGAACGAGCCTTTCACAGGGGTCGCCTAAATACATCCTGCATATCAGATATTTACATGACGATTCATAACAGTAGCAACATTACAGTTATGAAGTAGCAACGAAAATAATTTTATGGTTGGGGGTCACCACAACATGAGGAGCTGTATTAAAGGGTCGCGGCATTAGGAAGGTTGAGAACCACTGGTAGTCAGTGAAAACTTACTTATGTATCACGGAAGGAAAAACTTCATCTGGCCTGTTTCCCAATTATTAAGGTTCCAAATCACTGAAATAAAAATAAATGAGACTTTGCTGCATTTAGAAAACCAGTATGATGAAAAATTTGTTTACACCAGGAGGTTTTAGGTCATCCTTCAATCACTCATCCAGGGAACCAAAGTGCGTGTGCGCACGGGTACACACACATACATATGCACGCACACACGCGCAGATGTGACACATGGTAAATGTTGGGCAATTACTGAGCTGGAACAAAGGGAGCCTCAGGTTCCATCTCCTTTTTAACCTGATATTTGTCTATGCAAGAATCTAGGAACTCAAATCAAAGGCATCCAAATATTATTATTCATCATGACACACTCAGCTATTTAATTTTACCTAATTCCTTACCTTTTAAATACATTACTTTAGTCAAAGTGGTGCTAAGATGATGAGCAAAAAGAATTATTTTAAAAATATTAGTACATTTGAAGAGAACGTAGTAATTTTGGCTAACTTTCTCCCCTATGTAAAGAACTTCTAAAAAGCATGCCGTGTTGCCATATGAAGGAACCCTATGGCAGTAGCGCTATGTTCGTAGATTTTGCCGAATCTAAAAATAAACCTGCACGGCTCTGCTGGAATTATTTAGGAAAGAATAATTGAAACCCACTTTAGCAAGTTAATTTAGACTCTCCTAATTTTACTTTTCTAGTTCACAAGGTACCTTTTTCTCATGGTGTTTTCAAATTGAATTTCGCATACATCAAACGAATAGCATGATAATTAGAGTTTTCAATATCCAATACACATCATTATTATCTGTCATTATTGTCATTGTCACTATTATAATTGCAATTGTAAAAAGAATGGAAGCTTTTCTACAGGAATTATTCACATGTATTACTTTCTAGGAGTAATTGAATAGTTGACATTGCACTTACATCAATGTAAAATATGTGATGGTTTTTCTCATTTGTTTTGTTCTTAGGAAATGTTCTTATTAGGTTCCTTTATTTGGATCCAGGAAGGTTCTTAGTTTTATGTAATGTCCAAATGCATACTTTCTTATAACAAGGCTCAAAAGATAGCCAATATAATTAAAGTAATAATTTTCTAAGAACATAATTATAAGATAACAACTGGGTAATGAAGTCCTCTTAATTAGCTTGTATTTGTACACATAAACTCAATAAGAATCTCAGTGAAAAATATTACTTTTCTTTTTTAACTACTTAATAAGATTTGGCATATTGAAAGAAAGCCCACATTATATTGTCAATATCTAAAGACTGGTTAATAATAATTTACTTTAGAGTTTACACAGAACTTTTCAGTTCATTGTTTTATACAGTCCTCATGACAATCCTTTGAGCAGGAAGACTAGAGTTTATTCATCTACTTAAAGCTAAGAAAACATAGTATCCAAGAAGCCAAGTAATTTATACAAAGTCACTCTGATGAATAGCAAAATTAGCACTGGAAGCTGGGTCATCTGGGTCTAAATTAGAAGCTATAGTAAAATAAATTTTAAAGAATGAATTTGAATTTTTAAAAAATGTTTTTATTGATTTTTAGAGAGGAAGGGAGAGGGATAGGGAGATAGACACATTGATGAGAGAGAAACATTGATTGGCTGCCTCCTGCACGCCCCCCACTGGGGATCAAGCCTGCAAGGGGGGCATGTGCCCTAACTGGGAATCGAACTGGTGACCTCTTAGTTCATGGGTCAATGCTCAACCACTGAACCACACTGGCCGGGCATAAATTTGAATTTTAAAAAGACATTGGCCCGGTACAGTGTCTGGGCTTTGTTTCTGCCTCTCGGTTTGACTATGGGAACTTACTCGCCTCTCTGCAAAATGGAGTTATTATACCTACCACATAGGGCCGTTTTGAGAGTCTACGGAGCAAATAGTGAGAAAAACACTCCAGTGTGGTTTGTTATTTTATGTCTTCCTTCTTCTGTGCTATGCTACTTCTCACATGTTATCCTATTTTTGGTTTTTATGTGATCATCTTCACAAGGTAGAGTTTTAAACTTTAAATAGCATCAAGAGGGGATTGGAAAATTGTGTGACAAGTTTTAGAAACAAAATCCTCCCAGTAAAATGCCATAAGAAATTGAATGAATGCTGATATAAAAACAATTCGAAAGACGTGGAGTGTGTCTTCCCTCACGAAGAAGTCCACACATAATGCGCTCACAGTCCTGGTCCCTCACACACAGCACAGCAGAGGGCAGGTGGGACTTCCTTACTTACTTCATGTAATTCCCCTCACGCTCCTGGGGGAGGTCTGGGTGGTTTAGAGATTTATCCTGGTTTGTGTAGAGCTTTCCTTGCTGCTATGCTAGCTAACCCTTTGAATCATGTCATGATTGGTGGGATAGGGGTTACATTTGCCAACTGTTGGTGGCTTTCATATTGGTAGGCTCAGTCCAGTTCTTAGAGGACAGATGGTAATGACTCGGGCAGAGAAGACAAAGACTCTAGATTCTGTCTTCATCTGCAGAGATAGTCCATTTAAGTCGGTGTTGGAAATCACCAGTGGCATTGGTCCAGGGAAGATGGCCTGATCAATGAATAAAACGGCCTTGCACACATACTTGAGCCATGTAGTTATCTCCCTTTGTCACTCATGAACCACATTTTAAAAGCAGTATATTAATCTAAATATTAAGATAAGGATTAAATTATATTGCTCTGGTGGCACCACCACTTCACTGAGTTCTTTCCTCTGTGTCTCACTGGCAGATATTGGTCCATCTGCCCTCACCTGTGTCTGGCAGCACATACATGTGTGATGTCACGATGGCCACAGAATCGTGACTTGCAGTTGAACAGGTCTGTCTGCACATGGTAACTGACAGCAACCTAAAAAAATATTTCTTATCATCTTGACTTCTCTCACAGAGTCACTGCTTATTTGGGCTAAAACTATAATAATAATAAAAAAGTCTTATATTAGTTCTGTAACCAAGCATTTAGGAGATTATATGATACATCAATTATGTGTGTATCGCTTCAAAGTAAATGAGATACTTACTACACTGAGTTCCCTTAACCCCTCTTGACAAACCACCCCAATCATTGAAACCCTCAATTTATGGAGCTCTTTGCTATTGAATTCTGTTTTCATCTCCCAACTACTGGTCTGTAAGGGCACTAATCCAAAGTACTTTAAATTCAAAGAAGTTGAGGTATTTTTTGTTTGTGGCAAAATTAATATTGCAAGCTGGTCCTATGTTAGGCATTCTTCTATAAGCGTGGCCCCTCCTACCCATGAGTTCCTAATAGAAGTTTCTTCAGACGTATTTTTCCTACTGAGGCATACACAATGCATTCAATGGCACCGGAGTTTCATTAAAGGAATTCTCTTGTTCCCTTCCTTCCCACGGAAACACCATTAACTGTTTTAAGTTAACTGTCCGAATGTTAGGTTCTTAACCAACAAACTGCTTCTCCACAAGGGCATGCTTCTCCAAGCGTCCTTGAATCTGAGCGACCTGCCGAATACGTAACAATAGAATCAGAGCCGCCCTGCGGGTTGGAATCCTATTTAAGAGGAACCCTTTTGTATTTATTGACTTTTTCCTTCCATCCTGGTTTCCGTTTCTCTCACCACCACCTTCAGCCTTTCAGGTGGATGAAAAGGTCAATTATATGTAAAGCACCCCTTAAACCAGCAGGCCCCTTGTAGGGGTCTGGGCCTCCCCTCCCTGCTCCACTGGCAAGTGTGCTCAGCCCATTCCTGCTCCCCAGGAAGTGCATCCATCCATCAGGCCACGTCTGCTGGCCAGGGTGCCTCTTACAGCTTTTACTGCATCTGAGACTGGCAGGCCTGCTCTCAGGAACTGCCGGGCAGACTGGGAATCGCAGTCACGGTGAATAGCAGCGAATTGCCAGCTCTTGATGGGTGGGTAGTCACTTCTTTCGGTGGTTGCCCCCTGGGGGAGAAGGTAGGAAAACAGAGGGAGGGAATTAGAGTGACTTTGCACAGCTGAGCAGGCTGCTGCCGCTGGAGCAGTGGCAAGCACTGGCAGGGCTCCACTCTGGGGAGGCTCCAAACAACCTCACAGTCTCATTTCCACCGATTGGTGCTGCTGTGTCGCCAGCAGCGCCCCAGGATGGGGTGGCAGGCGGGGCAGAGAGGGGAGGGGGCGCTGGGAAGGGGTAAAGGCTCAGCTAAGTTACACAAATAAAAAGTCCCCATCCGACTGGCTCACCCACCCCGTGAGCCCTGAGCTACTAATTGTACCAAACTTGTATTTTAAGTTCCCCGGGTGATTAAAGAGTTGGCTCACAAACTCCCTGCATAACCTTAATTTTTTCAAGGTTCTTTGAGTGGAGAATGGCTTATAATAATGATTTTGACTAATACGATTTTTGACATGCAACTTTAATGCTTAACCTTAGTACAACTCCAGAGCATTTCATGTGTACTCAGCTGTAAAGAGGGATGATTTAAAGGGATAATATAAGAAAAAGGTCGTTCTAGAATGAACTTCTAACAAATTGCATAAAGGGAGCTTATTATTCTGCGAGTATGGGGATATGCCTCTCTCCTGATCATTTTTCTGCTTGGTTCAAAAAAAAATCGTGGAGACACGAATGGGAGAAGAAACAGGAAAAAATGAAATAGAAATCTGCAAGCAAGGAATATTCTTCTGATGGTTATGATTTCGTTGCTACTCAGAAGGCTCTGCAATAATGTGCTTCTTCATCTCCTCTTTTGTTTTGGGTGAAGAATTCGCTCGAACAAGAAAATGCTGCTATTGGTCGGAGGCTTGCCTCCCGGGCCGGACCGCCTGCCCAGCAACCTGGTTCAGTACTACGACGACGAAAAGAAGACGTGGAAAATTCTCACAAGTGAGTGCCCTTCCTTATTTATTTACCCACCTGTTGATTTCATGTGAGAGCTGTCTGGAGAATTGGAAACCCTGGCTAATCAAATTAGACATGTTATTGATTTGTTACCCTTCGGACGTCTGTGTATAGAGCACTGGGGGTTTGGAGTCAAAGACTAAATGAACGCTGCTCAGGTGGCCACGGAGGTAGTTGAGTCGGGGGGGGGGGGGGGGGCTAAGTTAAAACTGGCCTAACATCACCACGAGCATTTGTGTCTTGCTGGGGTCCAACCCCAGCAGGTCCAGGGGTCCCCAAAGGTGTGGACGGAGTCGGCAAAGAAGGAATGACACGGAGACAGTGTTCAGTTGATCAGCAGCCTAGCCAGGATCTCTAGCCAGGATCTCCAGCCAAGTTCTGGTCAGGATCTCCAGCGAAGCTCTGTTCAGGATCTCCAGCCAGGTTCTGTGTCCATGTTCTCTTGCTAGGTTCTCCAGCCAGGTTCTCCAGCCAGGTTCTGTAGCCATGTTCCCTCGCTAGGTTCTCCAGCCAGGTTCTGTCCAGGTTCTCCAGCCAGGTTCAGTCACCAGGTTCTAGTCAGGTTCTCTTGCCATGTTCTATCCAGGTTCTGTAGCCAGGTTCTGTCTCTAGGTTCTTCAGCCATGTTCTCTCGCTAGGTTCTGTCTCTAGGTTCTGTGGCCAGTTTCTGTCCAGGATCTTTTGCCATGTTCTCTCCAGCAAAGTTCTTCTATCTCTAGGTTCTGTGTAGGTTCTGTGTCTAGGTTCTGTCGCCAGTTGTCTTGTTACATCTGTATTTATACCAGTTGATTCAATCCTATCAATCTCTATTCCAAAGGTTAGGGCGTTTCTTATCTCCATTCCAGGGAGTAAAGATTATGTAGCCTAAGCATGATTGTTCATAGTTAAAGTGATTAATTACCCGCCTGGAACTTAGTTAAGGGGTTTTATTCCCTCCCTAACTTCAGGGGAAAATCCCTACCTGGGGAAACAACCTTTCTCAGAGACCTTGGTTAAAACACATAGTGCCAAGAAGGTGAGCAAACATGTTAAGAACAGTATGCCATATATGCCAGGTCCCTAGAAACAGCAAGGATGGACCGGCTCCCGGCAGTGTCTCTGTCTGCGCTGAGGCGGAGGGGGAGGTGACCCCGATCTTCCAAAAGAAACTCTGCAGTGATGTTTCGTTCATCGGGAAGTGGAAGGTTGGCGAATAGCGCTAAGGAAATTTTCTCACATCAAATTGGTCGTTTGGTTCATTGCCTCAGTCACTGTCTCATTTCTTTAGCTTTTTAGGCATTTTGCTCATTAATCTTTAGTTTGGGGCACTGGGTGTTTAGAGAAACACCCCCCTCTGTCGCTCCCCAGTTTCGATGGACAGATATGGTCGCAGCCCAAAGCCCATGAAGTTGCGCCTTCAAACTTCCACCCAAGGTCCTAGCCCTCCCTCCTTAAGGGCGACTGTGTTTTACAGCAAACCTCTTGCCTTGGGCACTGGGATCTGGAACTTACTGTTATATCGGCTACGATTCCCCATCTGACTCAGTCATGGAATCAAGCTCATTGCTTCCGCGTGCAGCAGGCTGTGGGCACAGGCCCCTCGCGGGCACAGCAGCTGCACTGGTCAATAAAACCACATTCTAGCTGTCAGCACTGCCCAGAGCCGGGAGATAAAATAACGAAGGGGCAGTTTTGATCCATAAATCAAAGCCGTACATTTAAAACCAACAAAAGTGAGAGGTAGGCTTTCTTGCTGCATGTATCTTTTAAGCAGCTATATAGTCTATCAGTTTTTTAAAAAATCATTTCCTTTTACTGCAAGTTCTTTAAAATAGTGGAAACGGGATAGCAGTTTGCCCACAATAGCAGACGAGGATCAAAGACATGTGAGGCGGGGCTTGAATAATGCATTTTGGAGCCGCCCCCCTCCCTCACTCACCCCCCCCCCCGCCCTCCCTTCCCCCCATCCCCCCCGCCCGAGCCTGCAGTGGCCTTGTCCTGGGTCTGTGACAGGAGGAAGCTCCTGGACACCCAGCCACACGGTTGCAGTCAAGAAGTGGCAGAATAGCAGCAGTGAGATTAAGGGGAAGAAAGAAAGAAAACTAAGAGATGCCTTAAAATGGCGTTTCATCTCTTTTTGACAAAAATGGTGACTTAAATATGTGTAAATGCATGGCCAAAGTCAAGCTAAAGTAAAACTAAATTCATCTTGTAACACTTGACCAATAGAGAAAGCCTACACACCAGGAGACAGGACTACTAGGAGGAGGAGCTAGGAAGGACAAAGGGTCTGAAAGAGAGCTGCTAGAGAAGCAGGCTGAGGGATGGGGAAGATTAGACCCTGCAGTGAATGACGTGCCAGGCCAGGTTCAAGGTGCTATTTGTTTGAAGGCCTTCATTAAAGGCAAAAAGATTCATTAGCCTGGTATGAACGGCACCTCAGAAAAGTCTGTGTCCATTTTGAACCATGTTCTGAGATGGGTGATCACCCAGCTTATTGTCCAAACTGGGACACTATAGAGCAGGGTGGGGGGCCTTTTCCTGCCAGGGGCCTTCTGGATATTTATAACGGCACTCGAGGGCCATACCAAACTATCACCTTACACATTAGCCTGCTGGATTTGGTCAAACATTTAATTGGCTCACCCCTCCTGCCTTGGAAGGGCCTGACCAAATATAGCCTGCAGGCCGGCCGTTCCCCACTCCAGCTTAGAGCATGAAATGGGGATCTATTCATTACACTGAGAGAGCAGGTATGGACTGGAACATGTAGTCACCCTACTCAAATGTTTTACACTGCCTGACATAACTCTCAACTAGAGGGATGCACTAAGAAAGTATGAACTTAATGCAGTCACGCCTGGGTTCAAACTCATGTCTATGACCTTTCAGCAAGCCATACCCACATCTTGAGTCATGGGTACTTCATTAGATCATCACAAATTGAGTGTTTTTTCAATAAAATGTGATTTTGTAAATCACCTAGCTCAGTGGTCGGCAAACTGCGGCCCCTTGAGTGTGTCTCTTCCACAAAATACCACATGCGGGCGCGCACATACAGTGCGATTGAAACTTCGTGGCCACACTCAAGGGGCCAAAGAGCCGCATGTGGCTCACGAGCCGCAGTTTGCCGACCACTGACCTAGCTCATAGCATGAACTCAGTGCACTGCAGGTATGTTGCTATTATTGTAACAGCACCAGCAATATAGGCACGAGGACCCACAGACCCTTCTGCCTTAGAGGTACAGTCCACTCGAGCTCCCCACAGAGAGAGGAGAAGACCACAGACACACACGGGCCTCGCTGCGCCGGGGCAGGGAGCCTGTTTTCTATCGCTTTCCTGTGTTGCGTGTAATAACCTACTCAGGCGTAAAGGTGACTGAGCATCTGTGGCTCCACGCACCACATCGGACATGGAAGGACATAGACATTCATGTACAGGGAAGTGCTTACATGTGAACAGATTCAAAGATCTTGACCTTTTTCCTAGACTCAGGCACAACCATAGCTTTGAAATAAATGTCTGCTCTAGTCAGACTCTTTATTGCCCAGTGACTTCTACTTGAAAAAAATAGAGTTTATTACCTGCTGGGCTGTGACTGCGGGGCCCCACGCGAAGGCATATTTTTCAGGTTTGTTGGAGAAATATAGACAGTTTATCTGGGTGATTTCTGCTGTGGGTTTGAGTGTTGTTGTTTTTTAATTAAGGCATTGGATTTGGCTACGTTGACTAAAGAGTGAAAGATTTCCACACTATTTGGACCATCTAGTGATAAATGAAGAAATGTTTCTCATTGGAATAAGAAAATAGCCCAATTCTCCCCAAATCCAGAGACGCACTAGGATAGCAGGGCTTCCCGCTGCCTCACCTTTGACCCGGAACAACTGCTCCGCTAGTTGGCAGGGAGGCGAGGGACCCAGTTCCGGGTTTGGGGTCGGCTGAGTGATTGAATGACCGGCTCCATATAAACTAACAAATACAATAACAAGCAAAACCCCAAACCCCGAGGTTAGCGAGGGCCTCAGAATCTTAGGGTCCCCTGCCACTTGGCCTGAGCAAGTGTTTCACAGCCTGTCGCACAGACATGCTCCCTTAGAAAGAGGCGAGCCCAACCCCACTGCGGGAGCTGTGCTGTCCACAGACAGAACAGAATTAAAAGGAAGGCCAGCCATCATTTCCCTTAAGTCTGATCCCATTATGTAACTTCTATTTTAGAAACACTATGGTAATAATAAACAGTTAGATCATCGAATCGAGTGGAGGTGAATAGAAATGAAAAAAAATAGGACTCTATAATATAAAGGAAACAAAATTCAACAATCAGCTAACCAGTGGTGTGGCCCACCCGAACAGCAAGAACAACTGCTGTCATGGTAAAGACTGTTTGGGTAACATGCTGGCACAGACTGCATTTTTGTCCTCCTCTTTGGAAAAATCATTTAATAAAACATTATAAAATTAATCTCAAGAACAGTGACAAAGCTCCCCAGTCTCTGTCAGAAAAAAAAAAAAAAAAAAAAAAAACACATTGAAAAGTAACATGTAGCCCTAACCGGTTTGGCTCAGTGGCTAGAGCATCAGCCTGCGGACTGAAGGGTCCCTGGTTCGATTCCGGTCAAAGGCATGTACCGTGGTTGTGGGCACATCCCCGGTGGGGGGCATGCAGGAGGCAGTTGATCAATGTTTCTATCTCATCAGTGTTTCTAACTCTCTATCCCTCTCCCTTCCTCTCTGTAAAAAATCAATAAAAATATTTTTTAAAAAGAAAAATAACATGTACAAGTGAGTAGAAAGTCCTTTTGTAAGTGAAGTGTTCAGTAGTAACAATGAAATCGGCATTGTTGTTCTCCTGACTGTTGAGAATAGACGGGAAGTGCAGATGCACTTTCATTCATTTCTATTTTACGGGACTGCTTTTCCTGCATTTCTCACTCCTGCACGCAGTCTCCCGTTTCATTCTTAACTTATTAGAAAGCAGTGCAGGAGACATGAATACTAAAATG